AACACTTCAAGTATTAAATACTTTTATGTACGAGAATATATTCAAGAAGATTATTTTTGTTAACTCGTATTTACTTTTTGTATTAAAAGTTTGATGTAACGGTTTTGCGATTTATATAAATCTTTACTTGTAATTTGTGCTAAACGCCGTTGCTTAAAGTGATTTCTTATCGACTCCAACAAGGGAATCCGTTTTTAATCTAGGTATATTTGTTTCATGTTTGTTAACTCCGAACTCCATCGTTCATGAAACGATTTGAATATTTTTTCATTTATTGACACAGAATGTAAAATATGTGTTAGCTATAAATTATCATAAAACCTTAACAGGTTTGTAACATACATTCACCTAAAAACAACTTACAACAACTCGAAAACAATTCAAACTCAAACTCTCTTTATTTCATAAAAAATTTAAAATTGTTTGAAATCGTCTTTTATGTTGACTCTGAAGTCATGGATCAACACACACAAAAGCAACAATCTCTGTTTTGTCAAATAGTAAGCAAATAAATTTAACAAAAATCAAACCCATACAAAAGCTATGATTTCCAGTTTTCAAGGGGTTGAGCCTTATGAGAAGAAAGGGCAAACAAACTCATGGCCACTCTTTTGCAATTCACAGATAGATACAATGGCACTATTAAATATACCACAACATTGTTTTGATGTGCATGTGTATTAAGGACTAAAAGGTAAAAAGACAATGAAGAGAAAACAAGATTAAGAAAAAAAAACGAATTAAAGAGAAAATAAAGTGAAACATAAAAAATAGAAAAAATAATAATAATAAAAAACACACTAGCCACATCACATTTTTACTTAAGAAAGAAATAGCCTGCGCTAATTAATCCGAAGCATTCTTGTCTTCCACGTAATCCACAATTGAGTAGTAGGCCCTCTGGCACAAGCCACGTTTTATTGCGGATTTAAATTTGTTAATACTTAACTCTTGAATATTATTTGGGATTTTATTATAAAATCGGAAACTATCGGATTCGAAACTAAACTATGTTAATGGAATGAAAGAAAAAAATGGCCAATACGTACCTAATATTAATCACTAGGAAACCAGTTATCGAACCACTCGACGCATGTCGACGGCCGATGTTACCTCACTATATTATAATATGTAGTGTAGTTAACCAGATTTTTTTTTGTTTATTTCAATCTTAAATCTGTTCCAGTAGTCATCTGCTGGGGGATGTACTTCCCATTTACTTGCACTTGTACGTACTATGTACTTGCCGTGCCTCGTGGACGTTAAGGTGTCAGTCCCGGTTGACATATGAACATCTGCGGCAATCATTACGGGTATTTGGAGCCCAAAAAAAAGTGCGACAACAGTCTTTCTACAGAATCTCGATAAAAGGCTTGGAGAAGGAAAAGTACTTCTATTTTAGTTCCATTGAAATTTGGAGAAAAATCAAGTAATTAAGATTATAGCTTATTATAATTCGGCGTGATGTCAGCACATTGAAGATGGTGATACTTTTTAAACTATATTATGTACACAAATTCTGGTAAATGTCGGGAAGCCGTTGGGTGCGGGCAGTAAAAGGCCGATTATTGTGACGAACCTTCGAGGGCTATGTCCAGCAGTGAACGTCTTTTGGCTGTGATGATGACGATGGCGTACACTAAAATCACACTAATCTTGTAAAGGCGAAAGTTTGTGTGTGTGTGTGTGTGTATGTGTGTGTGTTTGTTACTTCTTCACGTTCAAATGGCTGAACCAATTTTGATATAACTTGGTGGTAGCTTTAATAAAACGTGGAGGTAGCTGATACCCTTGATTAACACATAGGCTACGTTTTAAACCGAAAAAATTTAGTGTTTCTGAAGGATGAGTACGGAATCACTTTTTAGTGTATCTGATAAACACCGGGTAACACCGCGGGGCGCAGCTAGTTGATTGTATACAAAAGAAAGCTTTGGAAGCAAAAGAATAAATAATGATAAATTGGTATATAAATAGGCAACACTTTTCCTTACATAGATAAAATGAAATACAATAGGCCTCGGAATTGTTAAGAACCGCAAAGAGATCCGACCTTAATTTCAAAGGCAGTATCTGAAAGGCTATCAGTGTTTAATTAGGCGGGTTCGAATATTGTCTCATTGGCCAAGTCACTCGGAAACCCATCTATGTAGGTAAAGGGCACTGTCTCAAGGTCAAGGACAGTACTTGATCCTTATTGTGTAACCGTATTGCTTTCACCGAACGTTCTATATCTACAAGCTTCACTGACGTTGACAACACAATGTGCGGAAATGTGTATTCACTTATTAGTAGTGCCACAATAATAATAATAATTAAAAATTTTGTTTTCAGTCACTCTTCGGCATTTATCGACCGGAGTGCTTACATGATCTTTCAGAAAACCGGTGCTAAACAATTCTTTCGTATTGGCTCGAGTGACTGAGATCAACGGATGACCCCTTCCATCTATAATTCCGGGGGAGGAGAGAGAAGATTCATCAAGTATCTTAGAACTTCTTCGTTCGTACGCCAAACATTCATTTGAGTTATGACACTCAAAGACCTGCAACGTAATTCTGACTCTCTTGATTTGCAGGAGTCATTGTGCATTGGTAGTCATTTACGATCAACCATCAGTTATGTAAGTAAGCCTTACCTTCTTTGTATGCCTGTGGCTCCTTTGTAAGCTCCTTTGATGTCCATGTCAAAAAAATATGTTTCAAAATCAATGTTTTGTATTAAAAATCACAAGTAATTTTTTGTCTAATGTTATTCACCTGGTTAGAAAACCAGAAATGCTTCTATGCTCTTGTTTTTTTGAAACACAGAAGTGTTTCAACAAAACACGAGCATAGAATAATTTTGTATATCACCCTACATAATTATGTCCAAAAGTCTACACTTTCCTACGTACGAAGGATAACAAACTATCCGAAGCTGCCGTTCAAAAGTCTTTGTCCTGACAAAGACCAGCCCAGCTTTGAAAATCGCTAACGACTTGCAAGTAAATAATTTAATTTGTGGACATTTTAGAAACACATGCGGAGGAAGACATCAAACTTAGTGAGCTCGTTACTGAAGTTAGTTAGCAGCACTTCGTTTATTGTTTAAACACTAAGTGTAAAGAACACTTAACACGTTTCCTGTACATAGCAAGGAATTACACCCACGTCTAGCTCAGTCAGGATCAACATGAGTTACGATATTTGACTTAAAGTTCATCGCGATTCCACTATCAAATAACTAAATTATATATTTTACAAAAAATAAAAGAAAAAGAAAAATACCAGAAGGTAAAGAATAAATCTCAATAAAATCTGAAAATAATGTTCAAACCCATAACTTTCTAGATAGAGGTTTCCTCATAAATATTTACTTATAACTTTTGATGTATATTGAATAATGTGCAAAGATAATAAATCGCTAAGAGGCTTTGTATAGATACCTTTCCGAAGACTTCAAAGGATGTGATGCTACCCAACATTTTATATTTCATGAATATTTTTTACGGTGCCCTTTGTGTATTATACATATTTAGGATATCTTATGGAAGCATCTTTTGATTTTCAAGATTAAACTACCTAATAATATGTTGTTAAAGACTGATTGTATTCTTGGCTTTTCATCTAAGGCTTATGAAGTCATGTCTTGCTTTACTAGTTGTGATTTAAATTTGTCCTGCAATGGTTTTTTTTTTGGAGTTTACTCCTTAAGTAAGATTTTAGTATAAGGCCCGTTATGAAAAAAATATGAAGTGTAAAATTTAGTGATCTAATGACCTCATTACGTTTTTTCTTAACGAGTAAACTCCAGTCGTGAGTCGGAGCTGACACACAACTTTAAACCGAAAATTTAACTCAAGATAAAATGAAGTCTATTCTTGATACTTAAGGATGTTAAATCCTGTCACGTAATAGGCAAGACACACAAACTATAAGAAGTAGGTAGGTGGGTTTCTGATTATCTAGATATTACTGAGAAAAAATCGATCCATCTTTCCAATCAAATAGTCGATCGAAATCAACGGTCGACTGCCAGAGAATGCCTTAGGCATTAAGTCCGCCGATGCATGTACTTGTGCAAAAAGTTAAAAAAAAAATAAAAAAATAAAAATAGTTACTCTATTAATGATTGTTTCTAGATATGTGCATCCTTTATATTTCTACAATAAAAAGGCTTAAAAAAGTTCCAGAGATGAAAAAAAAGTGTTGTCAGCCCCGCACGTAACATAAGTTGTGACGTTGTTGTGTTGGCAAATAGAAATACCCTATGCAGATCGCCTTCAGTATTACGCCTTATAATCACTTATTATTGCCTACACTACGCAAACGCTGTCGACATTTCTGACCCATTTGCAAGATGACATGTTGTCATTAAACCCAACGCAACTTTGTATTTAAAGTGCAACTACGAGTAACAGCTCTAGGCGTACTCAACTGCTCACTTAGCCTTATATCCGGCTTTGCATCTGCGATCTTCAAACAAACTTAAACCCTTAACTTGTAATGAGAGTTTCCTCTAACTTTCAGATGCCAATTTGACTACCACTTTAAGTTAATGAGTTAAAAGTATGTTAAAATATTATGAACCGTCTCATTTATGAAACTCTTATAACTTAATCGGATTATAACTAATGTATCTTTATAAAAAGTTATTATTTTCTTTAAAAACACTTGATATATTTCTTAAACTATTTTTCACTGTGGTGAGCGATGTTCTGGAGTATAGTAGGTCACCTTCTCTTGTGTTAAGAATTTAACGTCTCCACGCATCGTTCTGTGCCAGTATGAATGGAAAAATAAAACTCGACACACACACACACTGAAATAACAATTAAAATATTAATTAAAAGAGAGCCAATACGTTAAACGAAATATAATAGTAATTAAATTTAATTATCTCACAAATTGTTTAAATGAAACTACAAAATATACAATGAAATTTTATTTCTTAATAACTTACATACATAATTTATGTTCATAATCAAACGTATATTTACAAATGTCTAAACTTATTTATCACGTAGGTAACAGCATATATAGTCTATCTGTTAGGCCTTGGGCCATCACGCTTGGAGCTAGTGCCGCGACAAAAATCACAGGTATGAATAACTGTGATAATTCCAAAAATGGAAGTGTAAATAATGCTGATATTTCCGTTATCATAAGTAAGGAAACGAGTATCAGTGCCGTTGTTGATGCAGAATGGGGTGATGGAGACCCGGCGTGGAGCTCAGCTAGACTTTCTTCTGGAACAAGGGTATATGTGTTAGTGAAGAAATAACTATTTAGATGATAACTAATAATAAGAACGGAAACGGATAAGGGCAAGTCTAATTCGCGTATCGAGGTTAAACAAACTTGGTCCGGATATCTTAAAAAAAGCTTCTACCGGATCCTTCCTATTTAAGGCACGTGTATGGTTTACCGTGTGGTTTTAGTCGGTTCTATTCCGAGGGTATTTTCACACGTAAGAAAAATAAGCAAACCAACTCCAAAAACAAACTGATCCATATATCAATCTATTTTTGAGTAAGTTTGGATGTGAAAGTACGAGTATTTACGAAAGAAGTATTTATTGAGTATTTGAGTTCCTTCATATTATTTTATTTATTCACTAAGGCACCGACAAGAGGTAAAATAAGACAATGGAAATAGTTGGCTTTGGAAAGTAAATTGGCAAAGTATTAATTAAAATCAAACAGCACAGACTCAGCCAGCGTAGCACCGGTCTGGAGTTATAGTAAATGAAATTTGTATTTGTTTGACACAATATGTAACTTGGTGGAATATACTCTTTGGAAGCGTACAGTTTTACTGTAAAATATCCATTACGAAGTGGAAAATATTACAGGTGACGTAAATTAAAACACATTTCCAACTCTACAAGCTGCTTTGGCCTACGTTTTACCCAGTTGTTTTATCCTTTTTTTCGCTATTAAAGAGTATGAAACGTAAGTAAGTAAGACTAATATAAAATCACCATGCTATGCTGTAATATTTGGTTTTGTCGTCGATGAACTCAATACCTTTTCAACTTTATTGAAAGCTACCTCGTTCGATATCACAATAAACAAAACGTTATAATAATATTTCAATATTTACTAAGTATCTAATATTAAACTGAGTCGAGTATTAATATTTATAGATACGAATACAAATTGAGTATGTTGTGGAATTGCCTCGAGGCATAAATTCCGGGTTGCGAAATATTATATATTTGGGAATTACTTTACTAACTATGTTATCGTGCATAATGTAACGTTAGTTTGTACTCTCATAATAAATTTAGTACACTTATAAAGGCTAAACTATAACATCAAAACTCACATACAACAGTTTATATCACCTACATATTTATTTCCCTTTCCCAAATGTTTATGTAAAAATACAATACATTTTGGTTTATTTCTTTTATAGTGAGTTTTCTACCTGATGACGGGAAGAAACTATGTTTTAATACACGAAGTAAATTCTTTGTAATCCTGTTTTAACGAAGATAGATCTGATTCTGGAGAGAGGGATTTAAAGGGCGTGGATGCACTTACCATTATCGAGTGGCAGGTGACTTTGAGCGGCGTCTCTTACGATCAGGTGACCCATCTCGACCCGTTCGACCTTCTTCGTTCGTTCGGTCGAACGGGTCGAGGTGGGTCACCTGATTTAGTTTAGAGATACCAGGGATTCCCAAAGTGGTCGATATCGACCCCTTGGTGTCAAAATCGGTTTTCCACGGGTCAACATTAACGTAAACTGATTTTAGGGGTCAACAAGGTCTAAAAATGGATCCCTATTAATTAATAAAAGTTCTTATTTGAAACTTTCAATAAAAATTATTCAAATTAATTAAAATTAAAATTAAATTCTTGTTTTAAGAATGACTAATATTTTAGTAAAAAGTATCATGCTTTTAAAAAACTTAGCTATGGGGGCTGCGATATCAGCTTATTTTAGAAAAGGGGTCTCTTACTCTAAATAGTTTGGGAATCCCTCCTCTGTACCATAAAACAGTAAGGAAACCCTCACCAGGGCTTAGATTACAGTAGTTCTAGGGCACCGAGAGCTTTTCCCATATATTTCTTCTATGATTGCACACGTCACTGTTATAGAGACATCAGCTAGCCAACTTTATAAAACAGTCATATTTCTTTATGATGTGAAGGGACTTAATAATACATAAGAAAAGATGATCTGTGTACTGTTTCGCAATTAAATTGACAATGTAAATAAGAATGTAGTACTTTTGTTTAATCTATACCTACCTACATAGATAAAGATAGGGAACAACCAAATACTCCGAAATATTTTATTCCAAATTTCGGTGTTGCGATTTTCAAAAGTCCGAATGTCATAATACCTAAGAATTATAATGTCTATTATTAAAATTCTCGAAATTTATTTTACCTAAAGTCGTAAATGCGATTTGTTCGTTTTCCGATTTTTATACGATCGAAGAATCAAGTGCTCGATGGGTTCACGGTCCGAAAAACGATACTCCGATTTTCAATACTTCGAATAAATGATAAAATTAAGATTTTAATAGTTAGAAGTATAATTTCGTCACACATATATTCAAAACCTATAAGTAAAACGTCTACTTTGTTACTGTTACTGTGTTTTCTTCTTCTCGTTACACATACATCGCGAATCATCTACTGTATTGAATTCTTTGGGTTAGGTCCGATTAACGCCAGATACTGTCTATTATTGTTGAATCATTTTGGTTAGATTAGGTTCGAACTGTGACTATTAAAGCGCCAGATCCGCTCTGTTATTGTTATTATCAACTCGGACTTTTCGTTATTCGATCTATTAAAACTCGGAATTTTGAGTACAGTAATTATAAATATAATGAATATTGAAATTTTGAAATTATGAAAATAGGATGAATGATAAATCGGAATTGTTATATTCGGCTTTTTGAACCATCCGAAATTATGAAAATCGATATTATGAAATTCGTATTTGTGACTGACGGAATAAAGTTTTGCGTATTTCTGTTGTGTACCCATAAAAATAACATAAGTAATAAATATACCTTATATATGTATATAACTTTATTATTGATTATTCGTTTGATTGATAACCAGCTGCTCTAGGTGCTATAACCTATCTCAAAATAAAAGTTGTTTACTGTTTGCATTTACAAAAAAATGAATAAAAACAAAACAAAATCATATAAGCATATATATGTATATCACATTTGATAGCTAAGTGAGCTAATCGGTTACAGCTCACTTAGCTGTCAAACTATCAGAATAAATACTTGTGCTTAGGACTTAACCAATATAACTACTAAAATATCTGCATATAGTCCGTGTGATGACGGATTAAGAATACGGAATGTCACCACCCCAATTCATCCCGTGGGTGTCAGAAGAGCCGACTAAGGGAGCAAATTACGCAGGACATCAGCACTGCAAAGATAAGGAAAACTTGAAACAAACCCTATATCAACCCGTCTGGCCAGCGTTGTATAGCAGACCAAAACCTCCTTTGTAAGGAGAGGCGCATGTTAAGCAGTAGACTATTATAGGCTGTTGATGATCTGCATATTGTGTTCAATGTGTGAAGGACTGTGTAAGCGGTAGTGAACTCGTGTGTGCGTGTATATGTGCGTGTATGTTTAAATATTTAAGAAATTGCGGAAACAGGACAGTGATCCTTATTACATACACTTTATTAATTATTATGCCAAACACTTTGACATATAACAGAGGAGATACTAGTTAAAGAAACAGAGCATGTTTACATAACTCTGTAACGGTTTATTTTGCATAATGTTAGTGGTTTTAGGAATTATTCAAGAGGTACAAAGGTGACACACCGTTTGTAGTGCTGTTATTTTTGTTCTTGTCGCTTAAACCTGAGGGAGTAATGTATTACGTCACGGCCTGACGTTTACTATTGTTATACGTGAATTTACATGGCATGTATTTGTAATAGCCCCTGTTAGCGGGCGAGTTGTCACCTATAATAAAAACTGTACACTGTACAGAAGTAAGGTTTAATGAATGTAAAAGAAGGAGTTGATTGTTGGTGACATGTCGTTTCTGTATACCCGTACGAGAATAGACCATGAGCGTTCAATGTATGTGTTTTATATTATTTACACACGGCCATCTGATCCCACACTAGGCAGAGCCTGAACTAAGGTAATGAGATGCTTGATAAACATACTTATAATATATGTTATTGACTGGCCTTTGGTCTATTGGTTAGCGATCGTAACTGCTAAGTCAGAGATATTGAGATTTAAAACGAACCCTCCTTCTCCATTTTACTTTCAACCTAATGTCATTAGCTGACGTCGTGACTAGACATTGTATTTACCTCATTTGAAAAAAAAAATGCACACTTAATTACAATATTGCAAGTTTAATATTTTCTATCAATTATCCTTCCATTTCTATTTATTTGTATGTGAAAGCGATGGGAGGTTTTCAGATGAAGCGAACAGCTAACTTCTGTACTGTGTATTTATAAGTTAGTATATTCTATTTAAGCCCTATTATTACAAATTCCTACTGTAGTTGCTCATTTAGTCCTTGTTTAAACAATCTAATAAAGATGAAAAGTATTTTTGTGAAAATTGTTTTGTAATGGGAAGATAATTAATTGTTTAAGGCTATGTTACGTTAATATTACGGTACAGCCCTGAGGAGTGGACGAATGATGATAAGCGCAGTTAAAATTTCGAAGAACGGGTATTACTCTATAAATAAGATGAAGTCGTTCCCCTTTTAGGTTTCACCGTCTATTGTAAAAAAATAGTATCTTGATATCCCAAGTGTCTTTGTATGGTAATTATATGGCGCTTATGAAATTAACAATGCGAAATCACAATACTATACAGGTATTGTCCTGGAACAAGAAATAAATTATTCCTCTCTTTGACAGTAAAGGGAATGACAAAATATCTGCAAATCTGAGGGTTCTATAGGTCAGTAAATATATAAGTAAGTGATCATTGGAATAGGTCAACACAAAGTGTGTTTAGGTGAAGAATGTATTTCGATTACTTGCAATAGTGAGTTACGACGTCACGAATCTGAAGTGTGACGTCATAAAACTCACAAGTTATTGAATAAATAAGAGCACAATCAACCCACGAGTGTGCGACACTTTCAGCACTATGTTTTGACATAATGTTTTAAAATTAACCTTTACGAAGATTACTTTTTAAATGTAACTGTTAATAACTGTTAAATATAACTTTTCTGTTCAATAGTCAGTTGAAAGTAAGCGTTACTGTGAGTTTCGTCACTGCATTGCGTTACAACATATTTATCTTGCGTAGCACCATTCCTATCTGAATGAAATTATAATTATTTTAAAGCATTAGTGAGTATTTTAGGTACTAAAATACTCTCTACTCTATTAAACAACCTATAAAGTGTGAAAAAGATGAACATAATAAAATTGAAATCGAATAATAGTTGTATAAAGATAATAGTACACAACATAATAAAATAACAATTTTATAAATCACTATGTTTTGCTCGCCTTTATAATAAAAAATACCTTTATTTGAAATAAAACGTATCTCATATTGTTTTCAATATCCCTGCCAATATGTATGTAAAATTAAATGCTGATCAGTTGAGTAATTAAGGCGTGATATCGTAACAAACAAACCAACATTTGCATTCATTGTATTATACTTAGTTCTACCCATTTTTTTTTATAACTTATTACTGATCAGTATGAGAATGTCCATTTGCAGAATAACTTCACTGAATAAAATAAACAAAAATTTCCAAAGTTATAAACTTCAAATAATCTAAAATAAATGCAGTTTGTAATAGGTATAGCAATCCTTTTTACATTAATTTAAAAATATTTGATGGCAAACATTACCAGGATTTTTATTATTTCAAACACTACTTCAATATAAAAGTTTTATTTTACTCGTGAAATCAGTTTTTGAGGTAAAAAAGTTTCTCCTTCAATTTGCATAATAATGTCATTTATGGTTCGAGATCAGAACTTTGGAACTTCGCCTCTCTATTTCAAACATGAAATTAGTTACATATTTTTTTATCTAAGCTTATATTGGCTCTTTCGATTAATGTAATTGAATAAATTTGAGATTTATAAGTAAGAATTATAGGGAAATCTGCTGGACTGAAACCGTTCGTTATAATTCTTAGATCTCAAAGTACTTCTTTGTTGGCAAATTCAAGTTTACCTTTTTTTATGGAATAAGGGGCTACGATCAGATGGGTCACCTGATGGTAAACGACTACTGCTGGTGGACAAGAGTCGCATGGGCGTAGCGCGCTTTAAGTACACCTCCCCACCGTATCAGTGGGAGGGGTGGGATTGGGCTCCGGTTGCCTCACTCAGTCGGTGAAAAGCATCGAAGAAATTTAGCTTAACAGCTTCTGTGTCTCTTTTTGTAAAATCACCAAGTTATTACGATGTATACTAGGATCGCCATGAATAATAAGCATTCCTTTTGCTTGGTAGGTATATTGATTCATTACTAGTCGATGTCCCTATTCTAGTGAATTCTTCGAAACACAAGAATTACATACGTACATATGTACACTAACTATATTAATACCATGTCTATGATTTGTTCTCTCTGCTTTAGCTGTACAAATTGCTGTAATAACCTATAAATTAGATGGACATTGGGAAATTGACTTTATTACATTTACTTATATAAATATTCTGAATAATTCTAACAACTGTTGGTGATTCTATAATATGGGTACATAACCACATTGTCTTCGACGGCCTGCACTTTCAGTCTCGTTCCGTTTGAGCCTTGCAGTTTTCCCGTACACTAGTTTCCTCGTCCTAACCGTTTCACTTACTCCAATTTACTTCTTCCTATATCCCATCTGAAATCGATTACATTCCTAAAGAACCCTCCTTAGGAATGTAATCGATTTCAGATGGGATTAAGACACATCGTTTGCCAGCACCAACCCCAAATAAATACACACTTTTTTTTTTTTTTTAACGTCTGGAAATCCCCTCGGACCGTCACCCCACCGGGGTTTGCGGCGGGGTGGTGTGTCGGACTCGAACCGACTAAAACCACACGGTGTGCCCTCTTTGCGCTTCCAGTTTAGGAGGGGTCCAGGTAGTTATCGCCTTCTGGACCCCTCCTAGCGCCGGCCCGCTCAAATAAATACACACTACGCCAACCCCTAATGAAATTGGGAATATGGTAGAAAAATGTAGTTGATGATGACAACGTTGTCTATGTTAAACATAGGCTTCTTTTAACCGACCGACCGATAACCGACATACGCAAGGGAGGAGCCGCGGGAATAAGCTAGTTTTGAATTTACACAATCGTTTAGTGAACTGTGTTTCCAGTATAAAAACAAGGATTAATTTTTAACAAGGCAGAACTTTAGTAACAAGATTTAAAAAAAAGTGTGGCTTAACTGATGCAACTATTGAATCTGTAATACGGTACTATAGATAGTTCAACTCAGTTGTGCGCGCGGCCCTACAACTTTCATTCGTGTGGCAGTCGTCGTCCGACTGCCGCGTCTCTGCCACACGAATGAAAGTTGTATATTTACAAACCCACGCACACATAGGGCCGCGCGCACAACTGAGTTGAACTATCTATACTACCCTGTCAGAGTAAATTAATCGATATTGAGCTTTATATTTTTTTTACATGTAAGTATTAATAACACACATTAGTCAATGTTAACAAAAAAATATTAACTGATGACTATTATTACCGCCATTTAAAGTTACAAAGTCTATACCTAACAAATTACGAGATTAACAAAACACCCTCATTAATCATTCATTTTGAAACCTAGGTTAATAGATTCTATTCAGTGTTACAGATAGGTAGTCATATTTTAGGGATCGTATAGTAGGCCACATTAATAATGTAAAGAGCTTAAAAAAATTGTGTTTTTTAAAAATAAACTTATTTTGAAGCTTACAATTTCATGATGATTAATTATATACTAAGCAAGGATATATTACTTTGAGAAAGGGTTTATATTAATCAAAATATGGATATTTATTTGTGTATGGAACAATATACATATATGACATAATGTCTTTATTTTACTGAAAATGTTTGTATAGAATAATAAAAAGAAAATCGTTGAAACTGACACGACAATAAATAATATTTTACTCAAAAATGTGTAACTACTGTAACAAAACTTCTTTAAACTATAATGGCAATAAAAAAAAAATATTGTCAATCCAAACGTACCGTTAAGAACGTGAACGGACACGGTGTGAGACCTGGCGCCTCGAACTGCGCATGTATAATTTCCCGCGTCACTGCTGTTCACTCTAGCAAGTCGAAGTTGGCTGTCAGCACCTCCTGGCACTTGTTCTGTTTTCACACTGCGAAAAAAAAAACACTATCATTCATTTTTACCAAATAAGTCTTCTAAATTTGAACGATCTCCTTTTATTCCTAGATAAAAGTCCAGAATAGTAAATATAATTTAATGATTTTCGAAATTTGAATATTAACGATGTCTATCTATAAATTTAAATTTTCTAGGAATGAAATATAAGCTTCATGATTTCACTCTGTAGATTTACATCTAGGTTGTGAATTTACAGTCACAAATTCTAAAATTCGTCCGACCAAAGTTAGTTCCTAATGCAAAAACTTATTTCAAAAGTTTGTATAGTAACGATATTGTAGATAAAAATACTATATATATTACTAAAGATTTTTTAAAATGGTTGTATAAATCTGTGTGGAGACGGAATAATAATACAGAGTGTCACCAAGTCACCACTCATATTCATCTCGTGGATGTCGTAATAGCAGACCAGATAGCAAACCACACAGAAATACAGCACTGCGAAGAGAATAGAACCCTATACATACCCGTCTGGCTAGTGTGGTATAGTAGGCCAAAACCTCCTTTCTGAGGAGAATACTATGTCCAGCCAGTGGACAGTGGAAAGGCTGTTGATGATGAAGATGATATAACTAAATACAGATACAGGTAAATTATAATAATTTATGAAAAAAAAAATGGCAATGGGCAGGGCACATAGCAAGGAGAACTAACGGCCGATGAGGCAGCAGGGACGACCGCTTACCCGATGGACGGACGACCTGGTAAAGGTTGCCGGAAACCATTGGATGCAGGCCGCATTCAATGTCCAATGTCCAATGTCAACCGTCCCCGCTGGAAATCATTGGGAGAGGTGGTGGTGGTGGTATAATAATTTATATTATGGAGTTGAGTCCAAGATATGGTGGTGGAATATGTTGAAAATAATTGTATAGGAAAGGAAGAAAAGAGAGGAAGAAAACGGTAGGTGCTGGAAAGTCAATCACTCTAACCAAAGATACGTAAACAGCATAATATATAGCATAGAATACATAATCGGTATTTTTAAAAGAAAACATAGTACATTATGCATAACATCAGCGCAATATTAGCTGTTGTCAACTGTCTTGTTCTTTGAAGGATATTTTATTAAAAATTCATAAATGACTGGCCTAACTTGGAAAGTTTTGGGATCGCGGGCGGAGGCTAACATTGTATATTTATAAACAATCTGCTTTGCTTACTTTTTTAGACGACGTTATCTTAATAAGGAACTTTTACAGTTTTGCTCTGTTCGTTTGTCCGTACGTCTGTTCGTAGCTTAGCTTTTTATGATTTAAATAAAAGACATATTTGGGAAATCAAACACACAACTCCATTTAGTTTCAAAGTAAGCAGAGCTTGTACTATGAAAGCTAGATTAGCTGATATAATACTTATATACATCACATGGACCGGACATAGGCCTCTCCCATTGCACGCCACTTAGATCGATTTTGTAAATACGTACATATTTTACATAGAAAAGACCCACACTCCGAAACAAATATTTGCAGATCATACAAACACTTGGTCCGACCCGGGAATCGAACCCGATACCTCAGCACAGCAGTCGCATACATTACGCTACCTACTGCACCAACGCGGCAGTCAATTTAGGGGTGTAAACAAGCAGACGGGTTATCTAATGGAAAGTGACTATCGTCGCTCATAGACTTCTATAATTCCAGCGTCACAAGTGCAGGTAACCTCACTCACTCGGTCGAAAAGCAACGAAAGACGTGCTTAACACCGGTTTGGGGTCATCCATAAATTACATCACACGTTAAAGGGCAACAACGGGCAGGGAGGGTCAAAAACGAAACCTCACAGAAACCCCCCTCCCTTATTCTGATAGTTTAGGGTGTGTGTCAAGTTTTCCTGCTCTTTGCAGTGCTGTTGCCCTGCGTAGTTTGTTCCCTTACACGGCTCTAACGACATCCACGGGATGAATAAGGATGGTGATACTCTGTACTCTTACTATTATGATCGTCTACTCGATCCCCTCATCTTGAAAAGCAATGAAACTATACATAAACATCAAATAAACTACTATAATATAAATAAATAACTAAACGCAGATCATATGCCACAACGTTACGGATAAAATCACAGATATTTCCTTAATTCCATTACAGAAGATGTAAAATTTCTTCAAAGGCTAGATAATGCTGACTGAAAATAATCAACCTACCTCTAAAAGCTAACAGCAGCTGGCTGACTGCAAGACTATTATTACCGCCATTATCGCGAGTTTTGGTAATAAACATTAGTACTCTGAGCCTATGGATTTAGTCTCGGCAAAAGCGGTAGCGATATAATATTAATTTAATAAACAGAATATTAATTTAACTTAATTCTTGTATAACAATAAACAAAATGATTACTCAGCAGCAGATTCAGAAACTCAAATATTTGAGTTAAGGATTTTATTTATAGTTTATTTAAGGCTTTAAGCCCTAAATAAACTGTACTTGTAACTGTAAATATTTGAGTTTCTAAATCTGTGAAAATTATTGGCCATAAGGATGTTACAAGGATTAAATGCCTTAAATAAACTGTTTGTCATAGTTAATTGGTGTTTAATTCCTTCGGAGATAATACCTAGTATTTATATTAATGAGTTATAAAAGTCTCCAGAAAGAGAAATTTAAAAACAAAGATCCCTCAACTCTCTTACATACATAATTTTACTGATACATACTTTGGCAATGAATTTTCTGATTCCAACTTCAATGTTACCAACATTAAAATGAAAATGTATTTTTATTTTAAATATTGTACAGAAATTGCATCTGCACTTTTTTATTTGAAAATGGAAACCATTCAATTCAAGAACTTCTGTTTTAACGTAGAATGCTGTGTACACATTTTAAAGCGTTTTATACACAAACAAAATCGATTACTACGCACGAAGCTTATGCACAAAGTAATATGTTGAAATTACTGATTTATAGGAGATTGTTTTCATATTTAACTGATTCGTGTTTAATAAGAATAAAAAATAAACCTACAAAATATTTTTCATTCTTTGATACAGATTTATATAGTTTTTAATATGCAAATACAGAAATATCTCTTTTAAAAAAATTATGCATTAAAAAAACTAAAAGACATGCTTTCTATAGAAAACCAAACTAAAAAATAGAAAATAAATTTGAAAAAAAGCGATGGGTGCCTGTTATGATAGTAAAAAGCACCACACGCTTGTTTTCATATTTATTTTCTATTTTTTAGTTTGGTTTTCTATAGAAAGCATATTTTTTAGTTTTTTAAAACTATATTTTTTTTTTTTTTTAAATTAGCGTATCTATTGATATCGGTCCTCGATATATCTACAAAGTTTGAACGAATTCTGACCGTTTAAAGTCGGTCAAAATCACGCCCAAAGGAGTCGGTTACAAACATACAAACAAACATATAAGTGAAGCTAATGTAAAGCGTGTAATTACCGGATTGCCTTTTTCACCCCAACTTTGAAAGAAGCCTTAACATACAAGTCATACTTACCAAAACATAATATAATATGTGGTTTTATACATTTATCGGACAACAGAAGAATTTTTAGAAGAATTTTGTAAAACGAGTATGTAAATAACAACCAATTCTACCGTAAAAATCGCTCTCCGCTAATGCTTTAAGTGGGACTATAGCTTTAGAAAGAAATTTGGCCGTCAATTGTCATGTAAGTATCTGGTAACACACACATATTACATGGCTACCCATGCCAACATTACGGGCTATTACCTTTACGAACCCTACTCAAAAACTCTTAAAAAGGCTATGTAAGTGACCGTGAGCCACTAAACTCTTAAACTCTACCAATACAAAATATAAAAACGTATTTTCTTTTTTTTTTTTTTTAAAGACAACTCCCGCATTAGGAATATATCCTGTGTCGCGGGGAACTTTGCAAACATACATGAAACGGACACAAAGAACACCTAGACTCAGAACAACAAATTGTGGATCACACAAAGTGTCGTCCCATGTGGGGTTTGAACCCACAACACTCGGCGTAGTAGGAAGCGGCGTGGCGACCGCTTAAACCACTACGCCATCCGTGTAGTTTATTTCACCAAATCAAATAAAATATTAACGTTACGTACGTACCTATATTTGACTGGCCTGTTGGCCTAGTGGTTAGTGACCCTGACTGCTATGTCAGGTTATTGTTATTAGTATATGTTATCTGTGCCTTGGCTTGGCTAGTTTTTTCTTCTATAACTTTGGTCTTTTTTTTTTCACTTATCGCCTTAAGTTTAAGTTCCTTATCGCGCGTTACACGCCCTGAGTGGAAGGGAGCGAGATCGAAAAATGTGTGACTTTTTTACTCTATATTTTATCATACATTTTTCAATTTAACTCTATTAACTTGATATTTTATAATTTAAGCTATAATGATTGTATAGCAAACGTGAGGGTTCATGGACCCCTCACGCTGTTATTTGTAATCTCAAATATTTGTATACTTGAATATGTCAAGTGAACCGAGTGGAGACTCATAGACCGGCAACGCATTCTATGACTCTTGAACTGCAGGTGTCATTTACCATCAGGTAACCCGTATGCTCGTTTGCCTACTTCCATAAAAAAGTGACAAATTCGTTGTAAATTCAAAATTATGAATTTATATAAGTCATCGATGTACAAACCTTTTTAACTTCGTAACCCGAAAACCATTGAAAACCTCGCTAGCTAGTACGTTTAGCCTTATTAAATTAGTGAAGATTTCTTACACAATTCTATCTATGAGAGGGAAAATCCATGTACATTTATTTGACGTTTGCGTCAGTAAGTGATAGACGTCACTGGACTGGACGTGCTGTCAAATCAATCAGGCGAACTATTTGTTATGCTTTTAGCTTCTCCGTGTTCAAAGTTTACACTAACTTCTGCTTATGGTTTGCAACATCAAGTGGTTTTAGATCGACCGTATTCGATTGGTATGTGAACGTATTCTGTGTCAATGCTATGTAAATAATCCTTGTGATTTTAAATTCTAATTACTCTTAAATTATTTTTCCAGAAAATTGTACTGCAAAGTTTGTACCCAAATGTTCTTTAGTTCTCGTATGTATCTGAGCTAATATTATATAAAAAGGTATAAATGAAATAGTTTCTGCCTCTTACAGGAACTCTCATACTTCTTACAGGAAATTTTGCATAAACGTTATCAGGGGTACATAAAAATATATAAGCTTTTCAAGCTTTCCAATGGATTTCCTTTCTACACCTGGTTCTCCGGCTACTAGTACCCGAGACGACGTGCGATTTTTGGTCGGTTCGAGTCCGACATAGCCACCGTACTGGTGGGTGGTATGCATGGTTTATTTTTTATTAGAACTGTCCACCTCTTGCATGGCAATAGTCTTTTTCATGTGCTTATTTATATTTTGCTTCCCGACACTTGAAGCGATGCAAGTATTGGAAGAACCCTCATGTACCGTCGTTGGATCTTCTGCACCAAGCGAAAAGCATCACTTGCGACTGGAAGGATCATTCTCGTGACGGAGGCCGTATTGCCCGACTATTATCTCCGGTTCCTTTCGTCGAGGGAGTCGCTACGTATTTGTTGCTTGACGAATGAAACCGGGCACAAGTCGTAGTCGGGCTTCCTCTGACTCGAGAGTGCCGCCTTCTTAGCTACCTCCGGTCGCCGCGCTCGTTGCCGTCGATGCCAGCGTGGGCCTTGATCCAGAACAAACTTACATCTTTGCCCTGAGTCAAGGCCTCACTAAAGTTTCGGCGCGCCTGGATCAAAAGGGGATGCAGGGTCCCAGGGTTCGTCACCGTCTTCAGCGGATTTCGCTCGAAACTCTGTGTACGCTGGCAGTACGCTGGCAAGTACAGTTTTCGGCTCCGCAGTTCGGCCTGGCTGTCCCATATGGACAGCGCGGCGTCAACTTTGCCCTGTAACTTTCTGCAGTCTGTGAAAATTCGGCGCGACTATCCGAGGGGATTACCACACGGAAAAAAAAGGTGGCATCTCTGGATCTCTCTCTCAGCAGAAATCTTAACTATTCACTAGGCTACATGAAATGAATAGCTTAATTAATTGTGGTCAAGTTTTGACCAATAAACGATTATTTATTATTAATTCTCTCCAAATAAGTTAAACGCTTCTGTCTAATCCTATAACGATTGGGTTGCAAAGGAGAGCCGTTATGCTGTCTGCAAAGACGAGTCAAGCGAAGCACAAGGCCACTACCTACCCTTTCTCGAAGTGCTTCGTCGTTTTTTTCAATCTTTATAACTTGGGTTTGGATTATACCAGATGAACAAAATCTTCGAGATACGATGTCAATAGTGGACTTATTAAACTTTTAAAGTTTCAATTGCAGAGAGTAGAGTCAAAGCGTGTAGAGTTAGATTTTTGGATTTACATGAGATCTGATAACTTTTTGACAGTGCGAACCAAATGATCTCGTCTTGGCAATATTTTACATAAAAATGCTTTTTTTTTTGGTGGGATTGGTATTTTATTTTATTTGATTGCCTAGGGGCTAGGTTTTCAGCTTCTGACTCAATTGATATTTTGTCATTAACGTAGAAAACAATAATACGGTCTACTTTGGTAATAAGAGATGACCATAGTCAATGGTTATTTACAAAAAAAAATAGAAGAGGAAAAATTACATGTTGCTGACTATTTAAAAAAATATTTAAAAAAAACTCAACTGATAATTTTACATATTAATGGTGGCAAATATATAAAAACTTTTAGTATTACCAGTGCCTACAAATAAAAACATCTTACCTGATTCCACCTCTTGTGGTATCGGCGTTTAGAGCTCTACCCTCGTGCAACCACGTCAGCAGTGCAGGAGTGTCTACATGTCTCGCCCTACAGACAAGAGCTAGAGTTGACTCAGCTTCGTAGTACTTTTCGAGGAGAGGAGCTCCTGCTTCGTCCACTACCCACACTTGGGGTGCTGGAAACAAAAAGATTTATAAGTATTTAAGTGAAAACATTGCATATTATGATGACTATAAGGCGGTATGTTTTTAAAAGATTAGATTTTACGCGTTTATAAAAATTCAGAATTATTTGTATAAATTAAATCAATTACAGGTGCTTTAAAATTTTCTAAAATAGAAGACAATCAGACGAAGTCTTGAAGCTGCCTTTTGTAATAGATGCACCTAATCCTTATAAAACATAGGAAAGACACTACAACGACATTCTTTTACATTTATTTTTTATTTTTATTTACACTTTATGCACAAATGTGACAACGGCGGACTTAATGCCGTAGGCATTTTCTCCCAGTCAACCATAGGGCGATGCAGAGCCAAAACATGGTAGGTGCACAAAATAAATTAAGAATGTGATTTTAACACAAAATATAGCACATATAGGATATCATATACCATATTAACTACATTAGAATATAAAAAAAAAAAATACAATAAGTGAAAATAATACTAACACATACAATACATAAGTATTTACATATACATATGCACCTATACACATATATAATTATATTATATATACACATATATATATCCATATAATAAATCCTAGAAGAGAAAGTAAAAAAAGAAAATAAGATGGATCTAATGAGGTGTTTCAAAAATGTCTCCGCAACATCTGTTTAAAGGTTTGCCGAGTTGTTTACATTTACAGTTTGTTACATTCTTTTTTTAATTTTTATAAGTCTAAAATAAACAGTCGGGCTCGTCTTTCGGTATTGTAATCAATGTTATTTAAATCTACTTCACGACATACATTCTAAAACAAAACACATTTCGAGGTAAATGCGCCAAAAACAGGCTTACAACTGAACCCCGAGCTGAAATACTATTAAATCCTGACCATTAATAATGCCCGAATATCGATTATAGCTCAGAGAATCTTTAGACCTTCGAATCCAGGCAAAGGTCGATTCACTACAAATCTTGGTTGTCTAAATTCAAATGAATCGTTTTTCGAACATGGCTTTAAATCCTTAAAGCCTTGTGTTTTGCGGGTAAAATTATATGAGTTTTTTTTAAGTTTACCAAAAATATGTTAGGTTTGTATTTTTATTTACTAAAAGGTTAAAGAAAATAGTTTTGTTTTTGGCTGGAGTATTTGCCTTTCACAACTACTATCAATAATTAATAGATGTACAATATTTACGCTACAAAAAGCGGCAGCGATTTACCATCACTGATAATATTTTGTAGTTACTATGACAACATTTGAGATGCGATTTACATAGTAAAATAATAATAATAATAATTAAAAAAAAAGGTATAAAATATTTGGATTTATCTCACGAGATTGTCGATATGTGGAATTTCGATTCAGTGATCATTGTTCCGATAATCGTATCTGCTCACGGATTGATAGCCAAGAGCCTCGACCAACACCTTAAGAGGCTCCAGTTGGACGGCTGGATCAAGGGTCTGATGGAGAAGGCAGTCCTCCTTGACACAGCTCGTATAGTGAGGAGGTTCCTATTTTTGGGAGTCTTAACCACCGGTGTCTTGGTCCCTGTACCCAATGTCGGTGGTCTACTATTTTTTATATTTTGAAATGTGTTTTTTCTTCTTTTGTAATATACAATACCATAACCAAACTTCTAATAAACATACTTAAATATTTCTAAAAACAGACATATTATAAATAAATAACACCCAAACACAGAACAAATGATCGTGTTCATCACACAATTATTTGTCCTGGGTGGGAATCGAACCCACGACCTCCAGTCGTCAGAGTCACTAACCACTAGACCAACAGGCAAACAAAATCACTTGATATCCTTAAAACACCGATATAGACGAACTAATTTTGCACAAGGAACCCCTTTGGATATAGACACTTTGATTAGCAGTTCACCGAGCATAATCATCAAAGCATAATTGAAGAATCCTGCCTTTGAATTGAAGGAACATCAAAGCCTGTTCCTCCACAGGTATGAAAGTTTTTGATGTTTAGCATCTTTCCTCTTACTTTCCTTCATTCCGTGGGATTGATTTCGTAAAAAGGGGTGGAATTATAAAACAGGAAGCCGGAGAACGGTGCGCTATTTGATGTCACTAGCACGCGGTGCTAAAATAAGCCGTCAAATGGTAAGTGTAATGCATCTAAAAAAGTATATAAATATTCCATCAGTTAATGTAGTTCTCATAGTACAATCTCTGCTTATTTGAAACTAGATGGCGTTGTGTGTTTTTTTATTCTTTTTATCGATGATATTGAATAAATTGTCAAATATTATCACCTATACCTTTTTTTCTACGGGGTGGAAAATCTCTTCGGATATTCAGTTACTAGGGGACGCAGGAGCCGGGAGTATTACCTAAAAACCACCCCGACGGCTAGCCTCGGGTGCCCTACACTGTTGAGGACCTGGATCATGTGATTTCAGGTCTTCCCCGAATCGACGCTATAGGTCGAATAGCCCTATCCCGAGGGAGGCCAGAGGCTTCCCCCCACCTATCACTAAGTGTTACATACCTAGAGAACTTCTAATGTAAATCCTTGTGGATTATGTGAGCGTCAAAGGCTTCTAGCAATATTACTACCAGTTCAGGGGTAAAGATATCAGTAATATACCCACGTTTGGTGTTTTTAATATCAAGAGATTTCAAGTCTCTGAGGTCATGGTATATAGGTATTAAGCGTTATTATTTTTTTATATTTCATAACTTCATGCACAAATTTATGCGGTGGCAGATGCCTAATCCACTGTCTACCAGTCAATAGATTGAGCGATGCAGAGAAAGGATGAGATAGGATGCACTTATGTAAAAGAAGGTGTGGAGTAACGGATGTCATGTTCCTCTAACACAAAGCGAGGATCCTCCGACCAGGCGAGGTGATTATGCCTGGTCAAGCCGCGACCCAACGGTTGATGTTGGGAAGTTTTATTTATGCTAATCGGCAAGAGAATTCTTTATATCGCGTTACAGAATTAGCAACTTGCATTAAGGAGTTACTCCGTAGTTCAGTGTGTCTTCGTTAGATGGCGCTGTAGTATGTTTATGTTTCTTTGAATGTGGAAGTCGCCACAAAGGTAAATAAATAAATGCTAGAAGAGATTCAATAGCAAATATTTTGCTTCGTAAAATACGATCTTTATTTCTCCTTGAAATCACTTGGTTTATGAAATTACTATAAGAATATTCAATTTTTAAGTATCTTGCAGCATAATAACCTAATATAGACAACAGTTCAGCAAGAATCCTAAATCTAAGTAATTTGTTCCCATTTTACAAAGTTACATTTAAACCCCTCGTCCAACTTCACTTACATCAACTCAGTAATTTGTTACTGTCCAAAAAATGTACTCAAACCCATATTAGAACACTTTTTTATGTAAATGAGGTTACCCACTAGACCGACTGCGTTTAAGACAATGCCCATAAAATTTGATTTATTTTATCATTAATCACGTTCGAGTAACATATTTATTTCTTTTTTCCCTGTCGATTTTTCACATCTTTGCTAAATATTTAAGTTCATATTTAAATGAAATAAAAAATTGTGAGACACCGGTAATCGATCGAATTTGGGTGCAATAGCTCTCCCATTCGCCTATGTCCAATAGTGGACTGCGATAGGATGATGATGAAAAAATATTGGTAAATAGTATCCAAATTTAGTTAAGTCTAGTTTTGCCTCGTGTCTTCGCTCGTGTGAATGTCGATTGCAGAGATAATATTAGCTTATGACATAATATTCTATAGATTAAGTTACAAACATCTATCCATAAAATATTATTACAGATACAAGGTTTTACACCTCATCATCATCACATCATCACATCAACAGCGTTTAATAGTCCACTGCTGGACATAAGCCTCTTCTTAGGAAGGAGGTTTGGCCTACTATACCCGGTGGCCAGACGGGTTGGTATAGCGTTTGAGTCAAGTTTTCCTTCTCTCTGCAGAAAGAGATTTCGGAGAGGCCGCACTAGTATAGGGAATATACATATTCATGTATCTTTACATGATGCCTGACAGTATTAAGGCACAAAGATTTACTTCTTGCAATAGGAACCCTGTCGGGTTCTGAATTAGTCGGGCATACCCAAAATTCACACCTTAGTAAAACCTATCTTTCACAAATAGTGTTGTTTTGTTTTTGATTTCACGCTTTATTTAAATAAATCAATACATATATTAGCAAAAATCGATACTACTTTATATTTATTTTATTTATATCGGACAAAACACTACACCGACAATTTTTCGCGATTTTTGGTACGTGATTGCGAATTGGGTTAAAGTGGAAAAGTTAATTTGTTTTCATGATGCTCATATACAAACATGAGTCTCTTTCCATGAACATCAAAGGTAATGTTACGGCCAAATGTGCTTGTGAGATTTTATTGGAATTCGTTCAGTGATATTTCACTTGTTTTTGTATTCATGAAAAAAGTAAGGCTTATAAATAAGTGTATTTGAAATAATTTAACTGACGGGCCCTTTGGTCTATTGGTTAGCGACTCCGACAGCTCCAGCAATCATTGCTACCATGCTGGCGGGCGAGGTGGAATGGGGCGATGGTCTCTTTCTGTGAAGCTGTAATGATCCAGAAAGAGACCACTGAACGGGATCGGGCCGATCCCGAGCGTAGCCGTCGACGGAGCCACAGGCTGCCAGAGTGCGGAACTTTGATTGCAGGTTAACTGCTGCGGAAGGCGATAGGATGGAGGCCTAGTCGCAAAAAGATGATCGGGCCAAGACATATAATGATTGGGCCGATAGGGGTGGGGTGGGGGGTAAGCCCGCGGCTGCCCTGGGATAGGGCCTTACTAGGCGTGGCATCGATCTGGGGAAACCCGAAATAACATGGTGCGGGTCCTCCTCGGAGTAGGGCGTCTAAGTCCGGCCGTCGGGGTGGTTTTTAGTTGAAACACTTAATACTCCTGGCTCCTGCGCCCCGAAGAGATGAAGATCAGAAGGGTTTTTCACCCAGAAGAAAAATTGTGTGATGAACACAATCAATAGTCAACCTTACCGTCTTTATTTCTTAATCTTGCTGAACTGTTACTTAATAAGATATTATATATATATATATATATATATATATATATATATATATATATATATATATATATATATATATATATATATATATATATATAAATAAATAATGACCAAAATTTTAATCATACAGATAATTATTATCTCACAATTTTTTATTAAAGGTTTGAATTTAGTAATTATTTATAAAATTCGTTACTTGTAGCAAACGCTTATGATAATTTGTATTATTTGAATAGGTTTGAACCGTCATTAGAACATTTCTAATTATGAATTGAAAAAATAGATGTATATATTGTTCCAATATGTACATCGACAACAATACAGTATGTGGTCAAAATATTGGTAAATTCATGTTATCGACCCTGCCACTTGCCAAACAGCTGATGAATTTTAATGTCTCCATCTCAGAGTCCTCCATTTATTTTAAAGGTGCTTATAAACGTTTTTTCGATAGCAATATTATTTGCAAACTGCCACTTATAATTCACATTCTTCCATAGAACTCAGATAACCCTATTTCCTACCTGAAACACAGCGTACTCATAATTAATAGAGGCTGGAATTATTTTATGAGATTTTCTATTTCCCAAGGAACCTTTAATAAAGGTCTATAGTTGACCTTTACTCCGGATATTGCAGTAAGGGTAAAAAGATCGTAAGGGAACATCGTAAGATAAATTATTTATGAGCATGTTCCACAAATGATAGAGACAGGGGCCTGATTACTTTTATAATTGCGTTCCTATGTAAGTCATATGATAAAAGATTCAGCGAAAAAACTTCTTCGCTTCGTTAGAGGGTTGTTAAGAAATTAATGGACTTCGGGATTAAGAGGTAGGTAATTGACCTTTGTTAGACTGACCTTAATAAACTGAGGTTAGCACTTTAGTTGTGTTTTTCCTTAAGTGGTACAAGTTCATCTGAAAACTTTTTGCTTGCTATCCCTGAAAGAGATCTTGTAATCATGATTACAGTTACGTACAAATCTCTCATTTTTTCTCTTTCTTCAGACTCTTAGACTATGGTACATTTTTAGTAGTACCTCCACAATAAGGTTTAAACGGCTGGTAATAAAGTAGTCTTAATTACTAACCGTACTTAATCAGAAGGCTTGGAGGAAATACAAATATTTAAAATACATTCAAAATAATTCTGTTGATAACAAAACAAAACCTGTCCCGTCTACCTACGGGGCGCTATGTCACACTCAGGGCGGCATGAGGCGCTGATAAGCGCGCCTCCACCGCCCGTTTCATCGGTGGTGAATTAGGTCTGAGTGGAGATCATCCTCATGGGCCTCCTCCTGCGAGATGACGTCTTCGCAGAAGTATGTAACCATGGTAAAACATCTGTCACTTTTGACCTTGGAGCGTATGACGGCCGGCAGTGAGAGATTATCTCCAATGAATGCAATGAGGACCCGACGTTGCGAAGCGCAAGTCGGGCAAATTGCCAGGTGAGCCGAGTCGTCACTAAATTTTCTCCTAGCGACCGAGTATAGGTACTTCCCAAAGCACGTGGACCCTCCATTCGGGACGACCAACAAGACATCGTAGCTTCAAGAGCGGCATCACGACATTGCATACTTCTTCGAGCGGGGGCCGACTGCCACGGAGAATCATAGTGATACAGAAAACCGGTGTTAAGCAATTCTTTCGATGCAGATGGGCCTATTAGTCTAGTGGTTAGTGACCCTGACTATTCCCAGCTAGGACTAATATTGTGTGATGAGCCCGGTCATTTAGTCTGTGTCTGGGTCTAATTTATGCATAATATGTATTTTTTTAAATATATATTAGTATGATTATCAGCAGTTATCATAGCCCAGGCTCTGCCTAGTTTAAGTTCTGACGGCCGTGTGTGAAATGTGTGAGGTATATTTATCGTTTTATTTTCGTTCTATCAAACGAGGAGGGGGGGCACAAGTCGTTGTTGCCCTAACAACTTGTGCCTTTTGAATTGGAGGTGTCCATGATCGAATGAAGAATTTTATATCTTGAGCAAGTCCGATAAACTGATCCATTTTACTACTACTTACGTATGTAATGAAATACTGTTTATAAATATTTGATAGCAGCAAAAACTGAAAGTGCCCATGTGTATTATACTTACGTCGAATTAAATTATCCAAGTAAGTGAATTAGTACGGCTATAGTTTAAAGCGAGCTCCGATTACCTAATGTAACAGTATATACAAGTACTGTTTTCACTTTTTGAAGTCTTTAATTGAAATTACTTTTGATATATTCCGACTAGAGAAAAACTGGTGCTTCTCACTTCAAATCAACAGCTTTTAACAGTCCACTGCTGGACATAAGCCTCTCCCTAGAAAGGAGGCTTTGGCCTACAATACCACGATGGCAAAACGGGTTGGTATAGGGTTTATGTCAAGTTTTTCTCCTCTCTGCAGTGCTGTTGCCTGCGTAGTTTGCTCCCTTAGTCGGCTCTTACGACACCCACAGGATTAATAGGGGTGGTGACACTCTGTATTCTTAATCCGTCACTCCAAATCAAAATCACTTACACAGCCAAATTGTCCTTTTGGTTAGTGTTTATGTTTAATTTATTAAATATATGTTAGGTGAGCTTATAAATATAAAGAGTATTAGTTAAATTATGCGTATATTACAAGATTGGTAGTAATAATAATTAATAACCTTACACAGCTCAATTACGGCCGTCTCATCACAATCTAGACAGAGACTTTACTATGGTAACCGTCTGGTAAATATTTATTTACCTATATATTAATTTATACTTAATTCATACATATTGTAGATAAATTAAGTCCATATAAAGAATAAATAATTGTGCTCATAACACAATATTTGTCCTGAGTGGGAATCGAACCCACGACCTACGGCTTAGCAGTAAGGGTAACTAACCACTAGACCAACAGGTACTTTCATTAATCCCTACATACAACGCGAATGATCTTAACATATAAATATTAGTCTTCCGCTGATAAAGCTCTGGTATAGTAATTTGTCCTTCTATAGGGTGGAGTTGCTTAATTAAGTTAGGCAATTCTATTTTTAGTACTATTGAAATTTGTACAACAGTTGCTTATTATAACATACCACGAACATTGTAATCGAAATAAAAAAAAAAATACACATTTTTGACAGAATTCATTTCACAAGACAGACACACATCAGAAACATAATTTAACGCCATCTAGTAAAGACAAACTAAATTAACTTGTAACTATTGATAACGCACAATAATAGTTCTTGATTAAATTCACCCAACTTAATTTAAGGAATCTTCCGCATAAATTAAAATTAAATAAAAAATACTTACTGTTAATATGAAGATAGGTCCTGCTAACTCTAGGTGGATGAGTTGATATCTGGCATTCATACACGCCCTCATCATCAGGCTTGACTTCCCTGATCAGGAGCCTCCAGTTTCCAGGATATCTCCTTGCAACTGTCACTCGGTTATCCGCTGCGTAAGTTACTGCACCCACGGTTAGAAGCTCAGGCATTTCATCTTTGCCTCTACGACGAACCCAGGACACCTGCACCGAAAAGTATTTTTTACTACAAAGTATATTTTTGCTTTAGCGACCTACAATAACATGAGATTCATGAGATCATAATTGTAGACCGCCATGGAATGATTCAATAAGGAAAAAATCGGTTGAAAGCGGCCTGCAAAAATTGTCTGCCTGTGTTTTTAAAAAAGTCATCTATCCAACTTGTTACTGGACGTCCGTGGCTGCGTATTCCGTTAAAATAACATTTATTCATATAAATAAATATATCTTCAATAGTTAGCCATTTGAATTATCTGTATGAATGAAAGTACTTGGTGCTAAAAAATAATTTCTATATTTTTATCCATATCTATAATATTCATCCCGTGGGTGTCGTAAGAGCCGGCTAAGGGAACAAACTACGCAGAACAACAGCACTGCAAAGAGAAAGAAAACTTCAAACCCTATACCAACCCGTCTGGCCAGCGTGGTATAGTAGGCCAAAACCTCCTTGTCTAGCAGTGGACTATTAAAGGCTGTTGATGTGATGTGATAAAAGAAGTAACTGACAGATTGATACACTGACTGATCGATCAACGCAGAACTGAAACCGCTAGGTCTAAAAGCATGAAATTTTACACAAATGTTCCTAAGCTGACATAGGTGTGTATTAAAGTCCATCCCTAAGGGCGCAAAATGGGGGTTAGAAATTTATATGAAACTTCGTTAATTTTAGGAGATGCGTTTTCAAACTCACAGTAACTTTATTAATAGTAATAGAAAACGTTATTCCTAATTTTTCAAAAAACCACCCTTGAAAAGGGAAAGGGGCGATTATTTTTTAACTTACCGATTCAAACCGATACCGATTTTATTGATTAAATGGAGTTGTTTTCAAAAATTCCTATTCCAGTCGTAAGATAATCTTAAATGTTAGTCTCTCAACCTTGGTGATATAAATCTAAATTGTCAACGCTGGCTTGAAACACTTGAATGTTAATTATGTCTTACTCATTTGGAATAATGGATTCAAGGCAATATCACGCTCGAAGTATTCAGGGTCACATATTGCTAGCTATGTTAAATGCCACATTACTAAGGAACAATACAATTAACCTATTTTAATAATAAATTAGAACTCCGGTCTTCTAGCCGAAATTTCTATACTTATATGCAGAAAATTTCTGTAATGAAGGACGTTGTCGTGTCTTCCTCATCAAAGAAAAACCTCAAGGCTACAAAAAAAAAATGCTTAATGTTAAAAAACATTTTCACTTAAAACGTGATAAATAGTGTTAATGAATAGACATTAGTAAACTTATAATATTCTAGAGACATCTCTCTTTTGGCCTCAGGCATTTAAACTCTCTTAAAGTCAGTCAGCCCGTCAATGGTTAAAGCATCGTTAAAACCCCTAATGTCCCATCATGACACAGCACAATTTAAATTGTACCCTTCAATGAAAAGTTAAGTAATTAGCAACCATTTTAAGTCTTTATCTGCCTTTCAAGTCATAGTCATAATTTCGTATCTAGATTGTGGGAGTCGTTAGAAGTTAGTTAAATGGAATTGTGAATTTTCTTAAAAATGGTTTTGAGATTGGAATGGGGTGATGTTCTGTGAACAGTGCAATGGTTCTTTAACAATCTCACTGTAAGTGTAGGATGTTGTAGTAAATTTTTCGTGTACATGTTGCTAATAAGATTTCATCTTATTTCGTTACCTGTTGTCAGTTTTAAATAACAGTAATATATGAGTCACCGTTTCGAATAGATTATATTTGATTTTATTATAAGTTTAAGATATCTCAGGCAAAATGACAAGGTTCTTTTTTTTGTGGTGTAGGGTGAAAACAAGCATGTGACCCGATGGTAAGTGACGCCGTCCATTGACAATTGCATTCTAACTGTCTCTGTGCTTGCACTGAATTACTTGACACCGGTTTTCTGTAAGTACATGGTATTACTCCAATTGAGTCGTCGTACATGTGTTGAATCATCTCCAATATCGGACTTCAAGTTTGTAAAGATGAGTAAGAATATTGATAATATAAAGACGTCAGTACTAGACGCATCTATTAGTAAGTAATCCCAAAATGAGTAACTTTATTGTAAATCTAATATGAAAAAATATTCTTTCACTCATATAACGTGTAAATATAATAAATAATTGCACCAAAATTGAAAATCCTTAAAAGCACAATAAATTAACATAATGGCAGTAATTTTCAACCTAAGGTTCATTTTCTTGTGTAAATTTTAGACGCTATTAATAATCCTTTCTAATAGATCCCCAGAGCGCAACTTCGGGACAATGACTTCAACAATTGCAATAATTAAACGAAGATGGTTTTACCGTAAATTGTACAGTGAATACTGGTACTGCCATTTACAAAATTTAAGCTAAAATTCGAAGCATTGATTGAATGAATCACTTTGGAGAGATGCTATAGAATATTATTACAATTACTTGATCCTGACCTAAATGGAAGCAAGTCAGTTAAAATACCTTCTTTTAAACATTAACCTTGTAATAAAATATTTAATTTAGAAACTGCACTGAATGATAATTACTCTGCTAAATTCCATTATTATTGTGACTGTGTAAAACAGTTGTATTTGATAAAGTACAAATCCTGAGGTGTACAAGTTATTTTTGGATAACTACAAATGCGATTTTGTACCGAACAAACAGAGCTTAAATGAACTTAGTATGGGAATGTCATTTTACAGTCCTGGAATTATCGCCTTTGAAGTACAACTGTAAATGAATGAACAGCATCTGGGCCTATACAACCGTTATTCTCCGCACAATGTGAAGAAAGTCAACGATGCCCTCATTGACACGGCGGCGTTGCAGCAGTAAGTAAACATAATAGCAATGTAAATTATGCATCAAATTCCTATAAAATAAACCTTGTAGAAACACTTGATTGACCTAAAGCCGTGTAGATAAAATATAAGTTATTTTAGTATCTTCTCTTTTAAAAACACTCGACTATTTTCGGTTCTATTCAAATAGAACTCAAAATAGGCAATTAGAATGCTGAAATGTTTATCCAACTCATCTCATTTTCTCAAAACTGAATCATGTAAAAGTGTTGAAACGAAGCGAATCAAATGACAGATGACAGTGGTTTGAATTCAGAACCAAGTCGAGTTTGGTTCGGAGCAGAATATTATTAGTTTGTACCTATTTTTAAATTCTTCGTAAGCGTATCGGAACTAAAGGTGCTTCTACACGGTGCAAGTAGCCGGAGCGGGCACAGACGCGGGTTATTTGCGTCATTAGCATGCACGAGTTACGTTTGGTTGATATAATGTGCATGAAGCTCGCGCTTGTTACATGTATCTTGCTCGTTTCAGATTTGACACAGTTCAGTACCACGGTGCTTTTACATGATGCAAGTAGCTGGAGCAAGTAATCGTGTTAAAATGTCTGGATGAACGAGAACTCTTATAAAATGATTTATTAAAAATGTTATGCTACCAGAGTTAATAAATTTACTTTGAGACGAATTAATAAAATTACGAAGCAAAGGTTATGGATGCGTAATTGGATGGCAAGAAGAAACGCAAACACGTCAAAATGGTTTTGGATGAGCTTGCGCATGGTTGTACCTACGTTAGTAAACCACGCAAGTGGCCCGCGCGTACCGCGGAGCGCATCTCGCCACCACCCCGGCCTGCTTCTGTTAGGGTGACGGATGGCCTCAACACCCCCAAGCCTGCGCTTATGGAGGACGGAGGTCATTCTGCGACCACCGGCGCCTGAGTCGTCTGCGGTACCTAGCCCGTCGCCGGACCTGGCGCTCCGTTCCAAGAGTTCCAAACCTCTTCCGGACCCGCTCCGCCATCGACTTAGCAAGCATAACTTGTTGGCAGAAGGAGACGGAGGAGTTCCACGAACTCTCGCTCCGTACCATGAAGGCAATCATGTTACTCCGATGGCCGTCACGAGGCAACGACTCTGCTACACTCACGCCGGGCATTCTGCCAGTGTGTGGAGTGCCGTATCCACGGTCCGGTCATCGCAGTGTTGTCACTCAGAACTTGTATAATCCTTTAATATATAATTTAATTACAGATCAGCTGCCAACTCCATCACTAAGACTGAACCCATGATCAGTCTGCCATTAACCAAACTTGACAACGTTTGGGCCACCATCGACATAACACCATTTCATTGATGGATACTTACTACCATAGTCCTACATTTTGATGTACCAATGCAATATCCAACACAATAATATTTTGGTCAAGTATAGATAAAAGATGTAGTAAAAATGTTAGTAAATCTAATACCTTTAAACAATTCAGAGCAATTCTTGTATATATATAATTTGAATCTCCGCAATGGCTCCGAACGATTTAGTATTCAGAGGGGTTTTGGGGGCGATTAGTCGATCTAGCTAGATTTCATTTTTAGAAAATTTAACAAAACAAAAACACCGAGCAAGCTCGGTCATCCAGGTACTTATATTGAAATTAGTATTTTGCTAGTTTCCCAGATTTCTATTTATTATTTCTTCCAGTTCATGGTTCAGTAGGTAGAAACTGGGTGATTTATTTAGACAGTTGTGCAAGAAATAAGTATAAGGAGAGACTCAAACGAGACTGAACTATCCCCGTGTATAACGGGGGTAATTCAGTCAAACGCAGTGTTCGGAGCACCGATGTAGATGCATCTCTGGGGCCCTTAAAGACTTATGACAGTTAGAGCCATACGTGGATATCATACTGTATCGACAAGGGATTTAGGATTTAGAGGCAGATGTTTATTAAAGCAAGACTTTTATCATATTATGAATACAATCTATCATATTATGAATGTAAAAAAAGTTATTAAAGAGTTTCTTCAAAATACAACATTTGATAAAACGGAATCATGTTTACCTTCTTTACTATAGTAACACAAACATATACATGTATCAGACACACACACACCCGCACACACGCACACACATACAAAGTTTTTAGTTATAATAGTTAGTATTTACATGATTGATAATTACATTATAATGTTTTCAAAAACTGTATTTATATTTCTGAGGAATTTTTTTTATGTTAGAGGGGGCACATGAGCAGACGGGTCACCTGATGGAAAGTGACTATCGCCGCCCATGAACGTCTGCAACTCAGGAGTCACAAACGCGTTGCCGGCCTTTTAGGAAGGAGTACGCTCTTTTCTTGAAGGTTTGAAGGTCGTATCGGTCCGGAAATACCGCAGACGATAACCCGTTCCATAGTTTGGTTGTGCGGGGCAAAAATTGTCTCGAAAAGCGCACAGTAATGGAGCGCCAACTATCCAGGTAATGAGGATGAAAATTTTGCCGTGTGGAAAGATGGCGGAAACTGGCACTGTTTCTCTTTACTATAGGCTATAATGTAGCCTATTTAAGAGGACAGTACTTTAACTACTTAGTGTAGTTTATATTTAAGTATTTGTTACATATAAGTTAGTTATTGCATTGTACTGTAGCTTATTTTATGAAATTAATGCTTTTGAAATGAAATGAAATGAAATGAAATGATAATTTAATTGCAGAAATATGGTACATGGGCTGTTTATAGTTATTAGAAGAGAATCACATATTTCGTCAGTCTGTTCTGACATGCAAAATTTGAAACGTACATGCATATTACAACAAAAGATTGGTTTAATAACAAACTACTAAGCTCATGTCAATAAACAATTTACATAATGTCAAATATTATTATTATTATTACTTTCTAATTTTATTCTTATTATTACTTTTCTATTTTTTATTATTTTAGGTTTAGTCTTTTATGGTAAAGGTTAGGTTTTATACGTTTATAAAGATCAGTTCCCAACCTTCTACTGATGAGTTTTGGTAAAATTCAACTAACTTCTCTCGAATTTAAACTGATTCACAGTATACTTGTCATCTGACCCTTTTTTTTAATCAGTGAACACCTGCAAATCAAGAGTCACAAGTCCATTGCCTTGCCCATTTCATTCAACCTAATCTCACCTCTCTCATCTCATCTCATCTCTTTGCTTGAATTGCTTAGCACCTTTTATCTGTGACTACAAGGTATAACTCCGGTCCCACTTCCATGTTTAAAAAGCACCCATATTTTGACCACACGGTCAAGCCCTAAATCTAAGGAAAATTCGCGACATATGTGTATATTTCTTTATATTCATGCTTGCAGTCAGTATAGTAAACCTAAATTTTAAGCTATTGCATAGCTTCTATCGAGGGCCTTGAGCGTGGAGACCGAGTCCAGAAATTCCGTAACGAAAATAATCTAACACACCCCACGTGATACTTTTTAGTTTTGCCATCTATCGATGAATAGCAGAACTTTTAATGACTTTTTTGAAATATCACGCTTGTCTCTTTAGTTCAGCAACTCGCCTCTAGGTGGCATTGGTTGTATCGGCGTAACTGCGCATGCGCAATCCCCCTCTTCGGTCCGCAATCTAATTAATATCAAAGAAAAAAAAATTGGTTGCCTGTAAAGTCGGTATACGGGCGAAAGTTTTACGTGACAACGACTTTGAGTGGTAAAATAATTTTAATGTGAATATTCATTCGTATAGTAGGAAGAAGGATGAAATAATAGTAACAATTTAAAACATTTATTTATACAAAGAATTATATTTAAAAAAGGGACGCGTGCCTTTCACTTTTTATGTCTGTCTCTCTCGCTCTTAGGCGGGCTAACCATGCCCGAGTGGAAGGGACGCGTGCCTCTCACTCGCTCTCATTGTGAGCGCATAACGTGAGCGGAGCGTAACGTAGTTTCTTGAAGTGTCACCCGGCAAACCAATTTATAAGACGTTGTCACGTCAAAAGGAAAAAAAATACTGCATAAATAAAACAAATAAATAATTATAATTGCATAAGTTGATTTTACCGCGGCAGTCCCCGAGTGCTACACGTCTTTTTCCCTCAGAACATCAACGATGGCATCTAAACCAAAGCTGAATTTGAACTTTAAATTATCTGAGCCGTGACTTACCGTTTTATCTTGCAAAAGACTGATCCTGCAGTTCAAATGCGCATCTTCTCCCAACTGTACAGTGATCTTGGTAATATTTCCATCTGCATCCTCAAAACTGGGTCCATATTTTCTATCGTGATCAAAATAAGTGTTTTTCACTGATACTACATGCGGTACCATATCTACTTTCAGGGTTGTTTTGGATGAGCCTTCAGATTCCTGTATCGTTTGTGGTACTTTAAAAGACTTTGTGCTATCTATTGTAGAGTTGCCAAGTTTGAGCATGACGGGCGCTGGAACGATCCCGGTGCTGAGTGCGTAAAACGTAGTTACTGTAGGAGATTCTTCTGTTGATGATATTGGTGGATTTTCTGCGAAAGAAACAAGAACATTAAGGACTTAAATTTGAACATACTCAACTTTGATTGAAGTCGTTAAGAATTCAAGCTATTGAAAAAACGTTAAATTGTTTCAGATATGTAGTGGAAATTTATTTATTTTTATCTTTTTGACGACTACAAGTATTACGAAAATATTCGGAGTCTGTCTGAACCGTGTTTAAAAAAAATCTACAACAAAACAATTAAAGATGTGTATTACATCAAAGTCTTTATTACTTCAATAATGATATTTAAGCAGTCACCGCTTCCTACTGCGCTGAGTGTTGTCGGTTCGATCCCCACACGGGACAACACTTTTTGTGATCCACAAATTATTATTCTGAGTCTGGGTGCTCATTGAGTCCGTTACATGTATGTATGTAAAGTCCCCCGCGAAACTTTATATATTTCTAGTGCGACAGTTATCTTTCATTTAACAAAAAATGGATTACGTGAACGATAAAAACACTTGACAAACATTTTTTTGAAATCAGTTTGGATTGAACATGATTTATGTTCTACAAAATATTTAAAAGTAAATCAACACAAAACCCATAAATCACCATTTAAATTCATTTCCATATAATCAAGGCCTCACATTACAAAAAGAAATATATTTTTTAGTAAGTAACCGCATCACGTCTCATTCCAAGCCGCCCCTCCATTGATCTGGCATTGTCCTTTGTTTTCAAGATCTATTACAGTTATCTGGGCTGAATACTAAATTTCTTAGGCTTTTCGATGTGTTTTTGGTTCAGTATCTGAAGTAACTGCTTTTACATCTTTTAATCTTTTTATTATATTACGAAACATAAAGAAAAGAAGTATTAAAGAATATTGGCATAATTTTCAACGTCATGTTAATTCTTAAGATTTGTGTCGTTCATTACGAAAGTGAACGTTATATATTTTGACAATAAGCTTTTTTTATATCTCTACTAGTTTATTTCCAATAGTTAATAACTAATCAATACAATATAATATATAGACTAGAACAGCTTTTAATCTTCATAATGTCGAAATGGCTGAAGGTAATCTACCAAATATAAATATATACCAATTGAAAATAAGAAGTTAAATATGGCATAAAATTATCAAACATTATTATGTTAGTGGTGTTGTACGAGTCTAGAGACTCAGAACAACAATTTGTGGTTCACACAAAGTGTCGTCCGATGTGGGGATCAACCCACAACACTTAGGTAAGTAGGAAGTAGGAAGCGGCGTGGCGACCGCTTAAACCACTGCGCCATCCGTGCCATTTCAATTATGGCTCAAACATAAAATATAAAAAAATATTCTTTGAAACCAAAGAAGAATACACAAGTACTCACCAGTTGTAAATTGACACAATACTATCTGTGTAAAGAAGAACACGCTCGCACTATACATAGCGCCTGGACGCTCCGCCCTCCGCAGAGCTTCATAATCTGAAACAACGTAGCATGTTAGCGTAATTATCTTATATCTTGTAAACTTCCAGGAAATTTATTCAGTATTTCGTCTTTGATGTTGTAGAGATAACAAAGAAACAAGTACATAAATGAAATTATAATGACTATGTAAAGGAATGAATAATACTAAGTAAAATATTTTAGGGAATAATCTTACTAATCTATGTACGTAGCTGTAATAAAATATATGACGCAAAATCAAAGGTTAAAGATCCTACATCTTAAATTAGTAAGCATAGCAAAATACATGGATGTTTAATTACTATTTGTGCTATCTTGTGTATAAATATGGCACTATATTTATTTCATCTGACAATGTTTAATATGCCCTGTAGTTAGATCAACGACTAGTAATATTGGGCAAATAAAACTAGTCTTGTCGCAACTCTGCTATGTTTAAATAAAATATTGTACACATTTAGAACCCTCCTACACAAAAGAAATATCTTTCAACGTAGCGAGGTGATATTATATGCTGATCGGTACGAAAATTTATCATATTGTGATACAGGGTTAGCAGTTACTTCGTAGTTCGGTCTCTCTTCGTTGGATGGCGCTGAAGTAGGTTTTTGTTTCATTATATGTTTAAGTCCACTATTTCAAATTATTTTCAATTAAATTTATCGGCTAGCTTGGAAATAGCTTAATGTATTTTTGTGTATCCCTCTGCATTTGAAAAAGAAACACAAAGAGTGCTTGAAAATTCTAGTTCAAATAAAATATTATGTAACTGTACTTATGAAATATGGCATTTCATAAATAATCGGTGCGACTGCCTGCAGTGCAGTGGTAGGGTATGCGACTGCTGTACTAAGACTTCAAGTTCGATTCCCGACAAATATTTGTCTGATCTGCAAATATTAATTTCGGAGTTTGAGTGTTTTCTATGCATAATATGTATATATTTGCAAAAAGAAGTATATAAGTAGTCTATCAGTCAATCTAGCTATCATAGTACAAGCTCTGCTTAGTTTGAAACTAGATGGCGTTGTGTGTCAGATGTCCGATAAAATTCAGATACATGAAGCTACACAGAATGACTATTGTCTCTCGCATGAAACATTCTCCTATCATTATCCTTTTTATCCACAAATAAATAAAAGTTATTAGCTGCTTGTACTAATAGCTGTTCAGGTTATTTTATTTTACAACAATGCACATGTACATCGGCGGACTTAATGCCGAGGACATTCTCCACCAGCCAACCTTTAAGTGGTGTAGAAAGTTGGTGAGGTAGATGCACTGAGGTTAGAGTTATAATAGCAGCATATATAGTTTAAACTAACATATACATACACACATATACATCCATAAATACACATAAATACATATGCTTTATATTCGTACACTGTAAATAGGGGAATTATGTCTTAAAAGAATACTTACATTAAAAATTAACTGTGTTAGTATATATTTTAAATATATTTAGTAAGACCTGAAGTGAGGTGCTATTACAAAACAAGGCCAACCATATTACGTCATCATCATCATCATCATCATCAATTATTTTCATAACTTATCTCTTTTATGTGACGCATTTATTTTATCTATTTAGATGCCCTTCTAATTCTGGTAAAGGTCTACCTGTATGCTAAATATTATTTCAAGAAAAAATATCAACAAACTCGTCCTAAACACAATTCCACAACCTTTTATCATGAAATGAAAAATTACAAGACTACAGTTTTTTTTTTCTACGTAGCAAACTACAAAAAGCGTTGTGGTTTCTTTTATCTAAAAAATAACTTTCTTCGTTCCTGGACACAGCTTTCGCAATTAAAACTTTTTGTAGGGAGCCATCATGTTTTTTGTCAGCATTTCTTTTTAGCTTTTATCAATCGGGGTAAAGTTGTCACAAATAAAAATTGACTACCTGAAGTAGATTTATTAATCTATATATAAATGAATATATAGATTAATAAATCTGCTTCATATATAAATGAATGAATGGTCCGTGTGGTGACGGATTAAGAATACAGAGTGTCACCACCCCTATTCATCCCGTGGGTGTCGTAAGAGCCGACTAAGGGAACGAACTACGCAGATCAACAGCACTGCAGAGAGAAGGAAAACTTGACACAAACCTTATATCAACTGGCCAGCGTTGTATAGTAGGCCAAAACCTCCTTTCAAAGGAGAGGCTTATGTCCAGCAGTGGACTATGAAAGGCTGTTGATGATGATATAAATGAATATATATATTTATAAAATAGAGATAGAAATAAATATGAATCTCTAAATGTTTTGCTAGGAAAATGGAAAAACAATTATTATCTTTTCAAAGATAAACTTAAAATATCACTAACAAAATATCTTTATTTCATAAAAAGTAAAATTGCTAGAAATCGTCTCTCCTGTAGACTCGAAATTCACAGATAAACACACAATAGCAACAATCTCTGTTTTGTCAAATATTTATCAAAATAAATATGTACGTATCGAAAATCTATGATATACCTGTGCCGATCTACAACCGCCCGTTTTCAAGGGGTTGAGTCTTATGAGAAGAAAGGGCAAACAAACTCACGGCTTTCTCAATTCAAACCGCAGTGTAGATTAAAACATCTGTCCCTGTAAACTAAAACAGCTGTCAAACATTTGACGTCAATCAAAACAATACAAAGGCGTGTTAAAATTATCTTGGGTATAAATGAAGATCATAGAAAATTTTATTTTGTAAATCAGTCATTTTGTAAATGTTTTTAGATTCTTAGATGACATAATAAAATTATTTCATAACCATATACTTTATTTTGTTGGTGAAGTAGGTAGCGTATGTGACTTGCTGTGCTGAGGTCTCGAGTTCGATTCCCAGGTCGGAACGAATGTTTGTATGAACTGCAAATATTTGTTTCGGAGTTTGGATGAAGAGAACATCCAAACTCCGAAATATATCCTGTATAATGTATTTACAAAAAAAATATATTTAAGTATTCTATCAGTCAATCTAGCTTTTATAGTATAAGCTCTGCTTAGTTTGGAACTAGATGGCGTTGTGTGTTAGATGTCAGAAATATTGATTTATTTATTTGATGTATAAATTTGTCTGGTTACCATTTTACAGACTTCTATGTCATCAAACCTCCTTAGGTTCCCTCAAGACATACAAGTAGTTACTAATAAATAAAGCTGGCCTTTATTCCTTTATGTATTATTATGTTGTAATTAATTGTTACAATGATTGTATTTATGAACTAAGTGGTATTACAACGAACGTTGTTGTAATAAATAATATTGATTGATGTTGGTAGAGATAGAAATAGAGGTAGAGATAAAATGAATTAAGAATGAATAGATGTATTTTCTTATTCAATTCATTCATGAGTGTGGTTTCAAATTAAGATATAGTAGAAAGGAATTCGTTTCATTACAAACTATAAAAATAAATACAATTGAAGTGTCTGTTTATAATGTCAAAATAATAGGCAATTTTCATGCTCACACGGTTATTCGCACGATACCTGTGATGCTATGCTTAAAAGCATGTTTAAATATTTTTTGTCTGCCTGTTTGTTCCGGGTAATCTTCTAAACAGCTGAATTGATTTTGTTAAAATTTTACTACCAGGTAGCTGTCTATATAAGAAGTAACTTAGGCTACTTTTCCTCTCAGAAAAACCTTATAGAATGCAGTCGCGTACCGCACTACACCACTAAGGCAGCGCTTAAATGGAACAAATATTCTCAATTCAAATTCCACGCAAACGAAGTCGCGGGTACCAGCTAGGCTGTAATAAAGTTGTATAAATTCTGAATTACCAAAGCATGTTTTCTTTTGTAAAAATGAATGACACAGTTAACGAGATTGATAACATGCAAGAAGAAAACTTTGAAAGAAGTTAGAAATTCATAAACAGATCAACAACAAGGACCTGGAGAGTAAAACGGAAAAGGTTTCAAGTGTCTTCATAAATCCTTGTTAGTGTTTCAATCAATAACTTTAGACTAAAGCTTGGTTGTATTCAATTTTAAAAAACAGCGAATGTTTTCGTAAAATTAATTTAATTAGAACTTTATACAAACTGGATAAAATAAAAAATGCTTTGTATCGCGACAATAGCACAGACGCCTAAAACATAATACCCACATTTTAATTTAACTTCAGTTAAAAAAAATGTTCTGGAGTTTAAGTTAAAATGTGCTTTGAAAAATAATTTGTGTTCTCACATTGGACCTGGTTGAAAAATAATATTACCGGGAATATTATGACGAGATGAGATTTTGATTATTACTGTCACTCTAATAGCTTTTTGTTCTAACTCTATAAAAATAATTGTGTTATGAGAACGATCATTTGTTTTGTGTCTGGGTGTAATTTATCTGAGCCAGGGTTTTTTTTTAGGGTACACCGTTTTTTTTTGCGGAAATCCCCTCGGATACTACTGGCATACATGGCAGTGGTATCCGAGGTACACTGGCATGGATACCGGTGGCAATGTCGGACTCGAACCGACTAAAACCGCACGCCGTCTCAGGTACCAGTAGTCGGGAAACCAGGTGAACCCTAGAAAGGAAATCCCTGGTGCTCCGACGTTCCTCGGGCCATCTACAGCGGGTAGACGACCCCTCCTGTGTGGGAACCCCCATGTTCCCTCTGTGCTCCCGGAAGCGCGCGCACGCTTCTTAACGTGCTCGCCGTCACTCCGGCTTGCTTCTGGTCACGTGACAGATGGCCTCACCTGTCACCCCCAGGCCTGCGTTTTTGGAGGACGGACGCTTTAGGGTACACCTGGTTCTCCGGCTACTAGCACCCGGAGTAGTTAGTGCCGGAGTAGTTAGTAGTTTTTGACACACGACATAACCACCCCACCGATGGTATCCGAGATATCCGGACCAAAAAAAGAACAGAGTGTAATTTATCTATAATATGTATGTATTTAGAAATATATGTATTTTTATCAGTAGTCTGGTAACCATAGCACTGGCACTGCTTAGTTTGA